TGTGGGTGTGGGTGTGGGTATGGGTGTGACTGGATGTGTGGGTGTTAGTAGAGAAGATCCATGCCCGTACCTACCCGCAACCGATACTGTCCTACACCCACACCCTACACCCCACACCCACGCCCACATCCCACCCACATACCTACACCCCACTCATACACCCACACCTCACACCCACACGCCACACCCATATTTTAATTGCAAACCTGAGTCTATATAGGGGAAGCGTTGGACAGGAGGGGTGCAGATACCATCGTCCGTAAAAAAAAGACGAAAGAAACTGGCTGCTGCATGTGGATTTTTGGGCGTCAGCCCCAACGGGCGATAAGCCTATGTGACATTATTGTTAGTATTATTATTAAACATGAAACGCATCGGCGAAAATGAAACTCTGCATTTTGTTTTAAACTCTGTAAAAGTATTTTGTTTTAGCAGAAGTTCTCGTATAAATTCAACACAATATCGGTTGCTGAAAAGCAAAGGTTGAGAACTAGCAGATTGATTGAGTCGTCTTCGTTAAGAGATTAGTCAATCTGTTTTTGAATTTGATTAAAACCCTTGAGCAAGGTCGAAACTGGTGATGGTAGCTTTTTTCACTATCGTTTCAAAAAAATTTCTATTACCTTTTTAGGTAGCAATGGAATTCTAAACTGATTTGGATCTTTAGATTCTGATTAGTTGAAGCCATTGATAAGACCCTTGAGCAAGAACGAAACCGGTCGTGGTAGCTTGTCTCACTCTCACACCCTCTTAGTTGGTTTAGGTACATGTGGTTCATCAGATTGATCACGATAGATACGCATTCATGAAATAAGTTCAGATATATCTGTTTCATTAGCTACATGGATGGTAATCGAGGACATCTTTCGTTAACTAATGCTATACGACTCTTATCAATTACTCATATTTAGACAAGAACAGAGAAAAACAATAATCAGGATTTCTTTTTATCAAAAATGGCGATGACCTCGGTCAAAAATACTGGAGGATCAATATTGTCAATGAAAATGATCTAGTCGACTTATTACCATTATTACAAGTTTTTTGTGAATTTTATTATGAAACTGAAGAAATTCCTCGAACGAGTGATGAGCTACTTTAATCCGTGTCTTGAGCATTAATTGCAAATTCAAAAACAAGAAGGAATACAATTACTTGTTCGTCATGCTCAAGATGGAAAAGCTGTTGGTATTGCTACACTTTTCTGGTCTTGATCGACATTAAAAGGTGGTCGTCTAGCTATAATGGAAGATCTTTATGTTGATCAATCATATCGAGATCAAGGTATTGCTGATCTTCTGATTGGTGAATGTGCACGATATGCACGAGAACATGGTGCATTATGTTTAACATGGCAGGCGTCGGTGAAAATTTATCGTGCACAAGCTGTTTATGATCGATGTGGTGCAATAAAAAGTGATCGGTGGTTAAATTATACACTTCCATTATGAATGTTGCTTATTATTTTTTTGATGATTTTTTCTAATCCTTGAAATTGATTTTAGATAATAATGAAGAATTTGATTGAAGATTTGATTTTATTCTTTCTTGTTACACTCATACTTTTCTCACCTTTTCTCACATTGTTCACATTTATTCTCTTATGGGGTGTGGGTGTGAGTGTGGGT